AGCTGACTCTGACTTCAGCTGCATACCGGTGTGGTCTGGCAGAGCATCCATCCCCCAGCGCAGCATCCATACCGAATAGAGCATCCATCCCTTCAGAGACCCTCCATCCCCCAGCAAAGCATTTGTCCCCTTGCAGAGCATCCTCCCCAACACAGCATCCATCCCCTCGCAGAGAATCCATCCCCCAGCAAAGCATCTGTCCCTTTGCAGAGCATCTATCCCCTGCCCCAGCATCCGTCCCTGCCCCTTGTGCCCACAGCCACCCGCTCTCCCAGGCGCCAGGCCTCAACACCGTGGCCATGCTGTGCCACCGCATGCCTGGTCCTGACCCCAGCCTCCCCCAGTACCAGGCCCCATAGCCGCGGGGGTTTCATTGCCTTTATTCCAGGCACAGCAGTGGGCGTCCCCACCTCCCCTTTCCAGAAATGTCCCCCACAGGGAAGGGGACCGCAGGATTTGTCCAGAGATGGGGGCAGGGGGTTTCGGGGCAGGCACAGCCCATGGTCCTCCCAGTCCAGGAACAGGGTGAGCCCAGAGTCACTGGGAGAGCTTAGGGACTGGCTGTGCCCGGTTCGGCTGTGCCTTTTCCTGGTACAGCTGTGTCCCGATTCAGCTGTGTCCCGGTTTGCCTGTATCCCTTCCCGGTTCGGCTGTGCCCTGGATGGGCTGTGACCTGGCCCAGTTCTAGCGTGCACCGGTTCAGCCCGTCCCGATTCTGTCCGTCCCGGTTGAGTCGTGCCCCAGTTCATCCTGTCAAGTCCCGGTTCAGCCCGTCCTGGTTGAGTCGTGGCCCGGTTTAGGCCCGTCCTGGCCCGTCCCGGTTTGTCCTGTCCCTGTTCGTCCCGTCCAGTCCCGGTTCATCCCATCCCGATTCGTCCTGTCCCGTCCTGGTTCATGCCATCCCGGTTCACCCCGTCCCGTCCCGGTTCACCCCGGTCCGTCCCGTCCCGTCCCGGTCCCCGCGGCCGCTCGTGGCACAATAGCGCCACCTGCCGGCCCCGCCGCGCCACACCGCCCCGGGCACATCCCGGTGCCAGCAAGACCTTGATCCCATCCCGGCTGGAGGGGCGCGGGGGGACCCCAATCCCGCAGGGACCCCGGGCACCCCCCTCAGGACCGGGGGACCCTGACCCCATCCCCACCGGGGGGTGACGGGGCCCGAGGATCAGGTCCAGCTCGGCCCACGGGGACCCACCGGGAAGAGGAGGGGATCCGTGGGGTGGCTGCGGGGGACCGTGCATCCTCCGAGGCACGGGGCTAGCGGAGGTCTGGCGTAGAGGAGCCCAGGTAGGTGCGGAGGTCGCTGAGGGTGGACGGGATAATCTTGGCAGGGATGGTTTCCCGGTTGAGCGCCCGGTGGGCGGCGAAACGGTGGCAGCCCCCGAAGGAGGAGAAGTAATCTCCACCCCGGCTGGCCTTGATCCAGAGCACATCGATGGGGGGCACCCGCTCGGGATCCTCCTGGGAAAGGGAGAGACCCCCCCAAGAGCAACGCACACCCTGGCATACCCAGCACGTCTCGGTGCTGCGAACTTCCCTGGCAGTGCCCCCTGGGGTGGCAAGGGTCAGTGCCCCCAACACCCTGGGGGGAAGGGGGCCGTGCTCACCTGCAGGGTCTCCATTAGGCTCTGCACCTTTCCCGGCTCCAGCTCCGCAGGGATGGGCCGGATGAGGACACTCATGGGCACGTTGTGCACGGCCGAGATGTGCTGCGTGTGGATGCTCCGCTCCCCGGCCTCTGCCATGGCTGCTACTGGGACCTGGCCTCGTCCTTCCTCCTGCCCACCCGGCCGAGCCTGCCGCTCCACTCCGAGCAGCACAGCGCCCAGCCGGGCCCCTCTGCTTCCTCCCAGCCCGGCCATCGCCATCGTCACCGCCACCGCCCCGCCGTTTTGCAGAGTCACAGTGAAGGGGCAGGACAGGCAGGGCCTTGCTGCTGGGACCGGTGCCAACGTCGGCTGGCCTGCTGCCCGCTCCTCTCCGCTATGGCGAGGCTGCGGTCGGGGCTGCCCTCGGCTCCCTGTCCGAGCCGGGCAGCCCTTGGCACGCAGTGGCTGAGTCCCCCACCAAAGCTGCTCGGTGTGCTGGGGGTCCCCATGCCGGGGCTGCCCGGGGGGCTCTGCTCCCACCCAGGGCACTAACAAGCAGCCTGGGGCATCTCAGCTGTGAGCTGAGACGTGTGTCCCCCGTCCCCCCGTCCCGGCTGTGCCAGGTGCTTGGCGAGGAAGAGGGATCATGAAACAGCCCCAGAGCTGAGCGGTGAAACAGGGATGCTCTGTGGCCGGGCAGGCACTGCAGTGCTCCAGCCCCAAATCTTTCTAGGTCGTTTTTCCAGACCAGCGTCCCAAACGGTGGAGAGGCTCCCAGGGAGAACTGGGTCTCCTACCCCACCGGCTGCCGGAACTGGGGAAGCCTCGATCCATAGTGGAGCTGTGGCACTGGCAGACGGCTGCTCCCAGCCCCCTTGCCCTGCCTCACGGGGGACATGGAGGCTTCCCAGCCCCAGTGCTGACTCAGAAATATGTTGGGTGACTCACTGCCCTGTGCGAGGGCTGGTGACAATGACGGTTGGGGATGGGCTCGCGAGGCTCTGGGATGAGCTTTTTGCAGGATAAATCTGGTGATGACTTTGCAAGTGAATTATTGCGCTCTCGCCTGTGGGGCAGCACCGATGCCACCGGGAGTGCAGGGCTCAGCTGAGGAGCTGGAGGCCGAAAATAATTTGCTCTCCTCCCCTCTTAGCACCCACCTGTGGGGAAGGGAGGCAGGAAGAGGGGCAGGTGGCAGGAGTGGAGGCAGGAGCGGAGGGAGTTTCGGGGGGGCAAAGGGCACCAAGGGACGGGCAGGCTGGCAGCTCGTGTGCCACCACCCGCCACTGCCTGTACAAATACCCCGAGACACACGGTTAGTGGCAGAAATCCCTTTTATATCCCTGAATTGCATTACAAGTAATACTGCGGGCGGCCGGTTCTCAGTAGACTTGTCTTACTGGGGGCTGGCGAGTACAAAACCTGGCAGAAAAAATCTATCATGCACGGAAAATTATTGCTGTAGTATCTGCTATTTACAGTATAGACAGGGGCAGAGGCGCAGCGCTCTGTGCCTGCCCGGCCAAGGGACG